GAAAAAACCATTTTACTAATAAACAACAAAAACTTTTATATGGCAGTTTTTTAATTTGGCATGTTAATTAATTCATTTAATTAAAAAAATGTGTTGATGAGGCTCATTTAGTATGACACACTAATTTGGAAACATGACATGCTAAGATTTATAAATTAATTCACACTCATTAATATGACACACTAAGGTTCATAAATTAAATGACAAACTCATTTAATATGGTGGCATGCTAAGGCTTCAATGTCGCGCTAAAGTTATATGATGCTCATTTAAGATGCACACTAAGGTTTATCAAATGACGCTCAAGATGCACGCTAATTTAATAAGCTAAGCCAAATGACTGGCCCACTCAATGAAAGGAACAAAAAGTAGTCCCACATCGAAAATATTGGGAAGGTTAAGCTAGTATAAAATGAAGGTTACTAGATTAGTTTGCGTGAGCTTGATGCGTGGAGGATGCTGCATTGATGAGCTCGTGCGTGATTAATGTGCAGCACGCGTTAAGTAGCTCACGTGTGATCAGAAACCCTTTTTTGATAGGAATCGGTGATGTGTCTGCATCATGATGTCATAAATTAGAGTCGTGACATCATCAATTTGATTTCCATACAAATCGTCCGGGTCCCGTTTTATTAGCAGATCTGGAACGGTGTCACCGATACCCGATCCTGATCGCCCAATTCTGGATCGGGTTAGCGCTTTTTTAAACATTGGTGTAATCTGTAATTAAAATATTCTCCAGCCATGGCATCTCCAGGCAATCGACTGATGCAAACAGGCATTTTATGTCAATGCTTTATAAGCTTTTGTTATCTTCCCTGGGAACTTAATTAATTTTGTCCCTTAAGTTTGCTGGCTTGCTTAATTTTATAACGAAGCTACTTCTTAACGACTCCAGAAAAATACTTTTCTAGATTCAAAATACCGTCTCATCTGGTAAAGCATTTCAGATTACTGGCAATTTTGCATTATTTTGTGCTGGCAGTGAGCTCTCCATGTTTGCCGATGCTGAAACCACATCACCTTATCATGCAAAAGGCCACTAAAAGGTGGCATTTTGCATTATTCACTAAAAGGGGTCAGGACTCTTTTGTTTTTCTTGTTGTTTGGTGCACTGTAGCCCAGTCTTGCTATTGGATTAAAAGATTACATGATATTTGTTCTGACCCCTAGAAGCGGAAACTAAGCCATAGAAGAAACCCATCTTCCTTACAATCTCTTCTTATCTAGTAGCAATGTTGATTGATATTTTTTCTCCTGCACAGTTTGATGTACTATGACTGCAGCATTGATAGTAATTTCTATATATTCTCTGTATATGGGTGAGACTACAGATTGAATTATCTTGAAGAGCAAGTTAAGGCTACTATGAAGAAATCAACCCAAGGGATGGCTGAACACAACAAAGCCATGGCTGCTGCCAAGACCGAAGATGCGAAAGCTGCTGTTGTGAGTGGAGCATGGGATTTATTAGTGTACTCTATTCTCCATTTAATTTTTTGGATTGTTTCTCATGTATTTGTCCTTCGTCCCTCATCTACTGTGCAGAAATTGAAGAAACAGAAAACTACAACAGAGTTAAGAACCTGCAATAATATTTTGGCAATGGCACAGGTGAGAGCATTTTTCATTGGGCTATGCTTTTCTTGCCCTTGTTTTAGTCCATGGCACAAACAGTCACTAATGAAATTCCACTTCCATTTCCTGCATGCAGCCTTTGCACTCCAAAGTTCCAGCTTTCATCGGAGATAAGAAAATCAACCTTTCATGGAAAGAAGCTATAAAAACAACCACTGCTCCCGCATCTGGGTACACTCTCCCTCTCTCTTTCTCAGGGTCTTTTTGTCTGTCATATATCAACACTCTTATCAGCCAACAAATTTCTGCAGGGGCAAAAGAACAGCAGCCACAGCCATTAATGGTTCTCCAGGTGCGGGTGGGAATCCAAACAAGAAAGGGCGTGGTGATGGGCGAGTGCAGAATCAGCTTATGAACAGGGCATTGTCTGGCTTAACTCATGGCGGTGGCCGAGGTGTTGGTAGCGCTGGCAGGGGAAGGTGGTATGGTGGTAGAGGTCGAGGAAGGGGCTACATTTAGCATCTCCCACCCTTTCATAGGACTGTATTGTACACTTGCATTTACCCAGTAGGCCTGTATTTGCTGGCCTGCTTCATGGCCTAATACCGTTATATATATATATATATATATATATATATATATATATATAGAGAGAGAGAGAGAGAGAGAGAGAGAGAGAGAGTAGAGTAGTAGTAGTAGTGTACTTAGTTTAGTTAGTTACGTAG